GGGATTAAAGGTGTGATAGGGAAGCCCCACCCTGGGTATGCGTGGCACCAATCAATAGCCTGGATGGAATACAAAGAGACAGAAAGAAGGCAGACTTGCTGCTAGTTGCTTTGCTGCCTTCAGCCTGCTATGCCATGAACTATTTCTCCTTTGTGATGTCCCTCTGCCATGCCCCCCTGCTTTGGAGCCAGATGATTATGGACTGAAACCTCTACAACCTCTGAGCCAAAATAAACCTTTCTTCTTTTTAACTTTGGGTGTTTGATATTTTGTCTGAGCAACAAGAAAAGTAAATAAGATACCCAGTTTGCCTCTGAGAAGTAGCAACTGACTAATCAGTTTCTAGGGTCCATTTTTCTCTATATTTTAAGGCCTATTGAAATAAAAGTTTCATATTCCCTAGAGATAATCTGTATAAACCACTTTTTACTTTGCCTTTTTTCTTATGTTATACCACTCCATTCTTTCCCTTCGAGATCAGTGGAGAATTGATTGCTTTATTTCACTGTCTTGATTCTCATCCCCCACACTAGTTCTCTCTTCAGTACCTTAAATTGCAGAACATTTATTTGGAAGTGGATCTCAAACATCAAGATATGATTGGTTACTACAGTATGTTTGGGATTAAAAGGTCTGTTTTAAAGTAGTGTTGCAGACTTTTTTAAAACATCATTTTGTCTTTTGGATTTTAGCAAATTCTCCCTAAATTGACCAAAATACTGTCCTCTTCCTTACAGCAATTTTATTTCCTGCTATAAGTATTTAAGAATTTTAAAAGTCTACAATGCCATTAGCCTCTGCTTGTGCTATACATATTGGGAATTCTCTGTTTTAGATCTGTTTAAACAACCATAGATCCAGATGTAGTTGCTTAGGTTTGCAATCCCAGATACTAAGAAGGCTAAGGCCGGAGGATCACTGAGCCCAGGAGTTCTGGGGCAGCATAGCAAAACTCATCTCAAAAAAGAAAACAAAAACACATCAAAACCAGCACAAATTTAGTAGAAAAAAAGAAAAAACCTATTAAATATATTTTAGAGTTATTGCTAGATTTTGTAATGCTCTTGGGCCATAATTTCTCCATAGTGATAAGGAAATATCATCATTTTAGCAGAGTATGTGTCTAATTCTGCATCTAGATTCTGTGTAGAAAAATTAAAAAGATTTATGATGCTTCCACCATGGAAGACTTTTCCGATTTTGCAAGCAATGCATTTCTATTGTTTTTAGTAGTAATGGTGACATGGAAATGACAGGAAGGACAAGAAAAGTATTGCTCTGCCCCAGGTGATTTATACATTATATTATTAAATGATGCAGCAACTTAATGAAAATGTATTATCCTGCTTTAATGATCAAGAAGAGGCATTTTACCAAAGTAAAGGTCACAGTTGTTAAAATCTACAACTTAGTGGCTCAACCAGAATTCAAATCCAGGTTTGTCTGACTCGAAATACAATATTTGAGACTTGAACACTGCTACGCAGGCTCTGGAAATGAATAGTAAAGTGGTAAGAACTCCTTGTTAGGAAAGTGTAGCCTTTATGGTGCCACGTATAGACGTGCTTACTCCCTGAGACCTGAGCTCTGGGTGGCCCTGTGGCACTGATGTGGATTAGAAGTCATGCAGACACCTCTGTCAGAGATGGTCCAGGCCACCTGGCTGGGAGGTTTCCTATTAGTCTTATTGTAAATGTTTTGCTAGTTGTCCTGCAGTACTCTCATTATGACTGGTTCCGAGGCTGTGGTCTTCAGTTGATGTGTCAAAAAAGAAATGAACTATATTCTCTGTGCATGAGGAAGTTGATCTTATTTGATATAGCAAATTGAAATCTTTTATATCTCTTTCATGTAATTAATTTAGTATAGTTATTTATTTTGGTTTTTGTTTTGTTCTGTTTTGTTTGCAACACTGGGGATTGAATTCAGGGCTTTCACACTGAGGTACATCCCCAGGTGCCCCTCTCCACTTAATTTTTTATTTTGAGACAGGGTCTAGCTAAGTCACTAAGTTGCCCAAGGTGGGGTTTAAGCTGCAGTCCTCTTGCCTTAGCCTTCCAGAGTGCCGAGATTACAGATGTGCACCATAAAGTAAGCTCAGAGTACTGTATTTTAATCACATTTAGTGGTAGCAGATTATAGGTATGTAGGAAACTGTTGCTAAAAAGAACACTGGCTTTCAAAACTCTTCACAAAACTGGCAGTGTCATCAGGAATTAACTGCAAATAATTTTTATGTTTCTAAAAAATAGGTTAGGAAATTAAAAAATCTACACAGATGTATATGTTATATATAGAAAATCACTGTATTTTCTGTGTCATAAAGCCACATCTATATATGTCACAGTGGCAGCTCACAGCCTGTGCAAGTTGTTTCTCAAACTGAAAAATGCAGATTTTGAGCAGCAAATGCACTTACCTTGCATGTATCCTGAATAAATGGTAGTTATTTATTTTTTCAAATAGTATCTTAATTTTCAATGATTAAATTATATTCAGTTTGATATGTTCATCCCCCAAACCTAAAGCAACCATGCTCTCTGTCAGTAGGTTAGTATCTTTACTGTGTTTTAAAAAATTGTGCAACAGAACAAATGTTGCACAAATGGTGCATTTGTACAAGCAGTGTACTGGTATCTCAGTGTTCCCAGCAAAACACCAGTTGCACCCCAACTATTCAGAAGTTTTTCCTGAGATTACCATACAGAGGAAAATCTGTTCAGTTTGACTCTACATCAAGAGTTGAAACGTAGACTCTAATGTACTTTCATCTCTGTTTCGATTGTTTATTAAAGCTGATTACAGTTTCGATGTACAAATTACCTTAGCTTCATAATCATGTAAAAATAATGGATAGTAGAGAATTTCTAAGTATTTTCTGTGATTTTAATTTGGCTTTTTGGTTGTGGTATGGCTCTTAGGTTTGCCAAGAGAGTCTTTTTGTTTTATTCCTTTGGTATGCATTAATGTTCTGCCACACTGGATTAAAGCGAGTTTTATTAAAAAGGCCAGATTTGTTCATACAAGGAAGTAAGAGCTGTTTTGGTGCACATCATAAGTAACCATTATGAACAAGTGAAATTTACTTTACCCCATTTATCACAACTTAGGAACATATGCTTTGAAAAGCTACAAGTATATGCTTTCTTTATCTCCCGATACTGTTGAAACAAAATAGTGTTTGACTTAGTTAAACATAATTATGTATTCTATCACTGAAAGAATTTTAAGATCATCAAGTCCAAAATTTTCAAGAGACATTTATTTAGTCTCTACTAATTATTAGAGGAATTACGTCAAATATTTTGTATATATTAACAGAGTTATTTTATTTGCCTAAAGTCACATGTCTAATTTTAGTGACAGAATCAGAAACAGGATGCTGATTTCTGGCATATCATTCTTGTGTATTTTAAGTTTTATAAACCATTTACTTGAATCATAAAGTAGTCCAGAAATTCTTTCTTCTAATCTCAGTCTTGATCATTGTATTTTACAAAGAAAAAAAAAGTCCTTCCTGAAAGTGGTATGCATTATGGTGCTTTTTAAAATTTTGCCTTAAACAATTTTTATGTGTTTCTAGAATTGTTTCTGGAAGCAAATCATGTTTTATGGTAGACAACCCAGAAGAGATTTTTATAAGACAGTGTGTTCATACTGGAGACTTTTCAAAGCAATATCACGGAACATGTATTGTGTTTTTTAATATGGCTAACAATTGACCTGTAAGTTTATGTAAGCAATCTAAAGTACAAAAAGGGAAAAGAAAGAAAGAAAAATATTCCCTTGCTGGCTCAAAGGGAGCCTTGTTAAATCCTGACAATCCTGGCAAAGCGTGGAAGCATGGCACTCAGTTATGACTTTGTAGATGCTGTACAGACCTTCAAGAAAATACTGTCTGAAGTTGTAAACATTAACTAGCCCAAGCTGTACTATTGTGTTGTGAGTAGTGACAGAGACACTTTAACAATTCCCAAGTGACTGTGAGTTTTCTTTAAGGTGCACACTTCCAATTTTGTTTTTATAACCAGCTTGCCTTGCTCCATTTTGTCTTCTAATTTCTGCAAATGGCTACAAGTGTGACCCAAAAGGAAATGATTGTAAATAAAAAGACAACTTCTTCATATGCATATGTGCATTTTATCTCATAACTCAAGTGATTTCCAAACTGTGGGTCACCGACTGTGAAATAAATTTACCAGGTCACAATTTACCTTTTTAAAATCTAATAGTACATATTTCAAAATATCAAGATAGTATTATGTGAAATAACCATATGTTTGCAACTGTTGTACCAAATGTAATGTAGAAAAAACAGGTAAGGGTATGTGTGGAGTAATATATAAATTACACAATGCTTATACATAAATTAAAAGACACTACCATACTTTAAATGATAGATTCTTAAGCAACTTTAAGCAAATTTCATTTTTGAAATTTATACAAAGTTGTTATAGTGAGTAAATGGGTATCCCACCCCACCACCCGCCCGTTTCAGAACAGATCATGATCTGTTTACTTGTGATCTCTGTTACAAAGAGCTCCATTGCAGAGTTCACAGTTCTTAATATAACTCAAGAAGGTTAGTTACCATTTGTTTAGTTTTTGACTTGTGTTTGCATCTTTGCTTGAGAGAATTGTTTTTAACTAGTTGAACTAATCATTGGCATTTAAACACTGACACATTTGATGTAAACATGAAATTGGTATTTTCTTTTCTCAAGTTACTGTGACTATTGTTAGGATATGATTTAGAATTTGAAAGTTTTTATTGATTATGTAATATACCAAATCTGTGTTGATATAGTAGTGTCAACTTAATTAAAATTAAATATGCTCACTTTAATTATATGTATCAGTGACATTCATAGATTTAAAATAAATTTCTGGTCAGGATGTATTATAAGTAATAGTTAAAATAAATGTCATATTATTTAGATCATATTTTTCTTGAGAAAGTAAACTGTTTATCTGTCTCACATCCTTTTCTTCATTTTCAGCTAAAATTGACCAGGAAGCAGAAGAAACTTCACTGACAGAGACTCATAAATGGTGAGAAATTGCTTTCTTTTCATATAGCATTTCTTCTCAGGATAGGCTAGTAAAGTGCTTAGTATATTTCATCTCAAACAAATTATTAATTTACTTTTTATTTTCAAGCATAAAACAAAAAGAAATCCCATACAATGGTATATTTGATTTCCAAAATGAACACTAAATTTTATTTTTATGACTACATAATGTATAATTCCATGGAGTACCAAATTACTTTTAGCAGCATAGCATCTTCTCTTTCAGACAATCAGGCATGTTCGGGGTGGGGCGTACGGCTGTAGACTAGCATCTTCCCTTTCAAATAAGGTGTGGACTGTGTAAATGCAAGAAGGAATTTTTGCAAGAATAAAGGTTGATGAGTTTGATTATAGAAAACTATTGAATGCCTGTTCTCAAAAGAAAAACCCAGGGCAGAGCTTCCCCTGGATGCACTTTCACTTCCAGAGTGAAATCATGGGTGAGCAGAGACAAGTGTATCAGAAATCTCTCTGCTTTTCTTACTCAATTATCTTTTCTCCTTTTTCTCTCCATTAGTCATGGTTCTTCAGAAAAACAAAGTGTGTGTTTGAGTGTGTGTGTGTGTTTGGAGGGAGGGAGAGAGAGAGGTGCAAGTACTGGAGAGAGACATTGAGAGAGTTTGAGAAAGAAAAATTGAGAGAGAGTGAAAGATTTATTTTGTGGAATTGGCTCACATGGCTATAGGAGCTAGCAAGCCTAAAATTAGCCAGGCAGGCTGGCAATTCCGTAGGAGTTGATGTTGTAATCTCAAGTCTGAAAGTAGTCTGGAGGCAGAATTCCTTTCTACGTGGGAACCTCCTCAGTCTAAGGCCTTCAACTGACTGGATGAGGCCCAGCCATGTTAGGCAGGGGAATCTGCTTTTCTTAACATCTGCATTAATCACATCTAAAAACTGCTTTCACAACAACCACTAGACTGGTTTTGACCCAAAACTGGGCATCATAACCTAGCCAAGTTGACACATAAAATTAACCATCACACTTTCTAAAGAGAATCTGATTATTCTCTAGGGAAAAGTTTTATTGAAGAAGTTCTTTGTCATTGCTTTATAAGGTGAGATCCTTACCTTTGGAGGTCTTGGTGAAGACCAGTTGAAGAGGGCCCTTGTAGCTGCATAGTACAGTAGCAACAAGCTGAATGGCCAGGCAGTCAAAATTTTAAGAGAAAGAACAAGGGAAGAAGGCAGCAGAGAAGGATCCTTCAGGGATCACAGGGGCTACTAGAAGTTGGGAGGCTGTGCCTAAGCATACTAGGCTCCACCTGCTCATGAATATCAGATCAGGATGGGAGCCCAACCATGTCAAGACCTATTGCCTCTCTGACCCTTGGGATTTCTGCACAACCTCTGGCCACCCATTGGCTGAACAATCAGCTATTCTGACCCAGGGGAACTCCTGGGAAAGCAGGCTTTAAAATAAAATCACATATTACATTCCTGTATACAGTCTTGCTAATACTTACTTACACAGTCAGTGTAACAGCATCAGCTGAGTGCACGGCCTCTAACCCCACTGTTATGAGCAGGCTGAAGCATTGAGGGAATGGTGGACTTTGACTGAGATTCTAGCATTCATTTCTCCTTCCTAGCTGAAAGGCCTTGGCTATTTTGTGTACCTTCCCACCACCAATGGTGGATCACCAAATGTGCTCTGTACTTTTTTTTTAAAATTAAATTCTTTTATTGGTACATTGTAGGTATGCAACACAATTACATTTCTCATTGGGAATTGTACCTTTACATAATGCATCTTGGT